ACTAGTACGAATCTAAATACTATATCTCTATATACTCTTTATATTAACTAGAAAGTACTCTTATATACTACTACTATCTTAGACTTATATATATATTATTACTAAGATCTAGTAATTAATAGAGCAATATCTGATTACTTAATATTTAGAAACTATTGTTCTACTGTTTTAATACCGTTTTACTAATATTAGTATTTCCCTTTAAGAAGTAAGACCTACTTAATAAGGTAACTATTATTATAACAGTTTCCTAACGGTATTGTACTACTAACTAACTAAGTAGTAATATATCTAGGTATACTATTAGTATATTAGAAGTATAAGCAAAGTACTTTCTATCTAGAAGACTAGAAGCTATAGAAATAGTAAATTATAGTGTTACTATTACCTAAACGGTTCCGAAACGTTAGACTTTGACTTAGATCGCTATATCTATTAGTAGAAAGCTATATAGTAGAGAGCCCTAGGCATCTAGTCTATATTTTGAATATATTTCCTACTAAACTGTTAACGTTACTATAACAATAGTATAACGGTTAAAGGAAACTTAATTAACAATATTTGTTCTACAGTCCTACTAAATTGCTAACGTTATAATAACGGTAGGGTAACAATTTAAGGAAACTTAGTCGACTTCTTTAAATCTTCTATACTAACTCTATTATCGACTCTACTATCGATATTCCTTCTACTAGATAGCTAACGTTACGATAACGGTAGGGTAACAGTTAAAGGAAACTTGGTTAACTTCTCTAAATCTTCTGTACTAACTCTACTATCGACTCTATTATCGATATTTCTCCTACTAGATACCTAATATTACGATAACGGTAGGGTACCAATTTAAGGAAACTTAGTTAACTTCTATAAATCTTCTATACTAACTCTACTTTCGACTCTACTATTGACTCTACTATCGATATTTTTCCTACTAGATAGCTAACGTTACGATAACAGTAGGGTAACAACTTAATAAAACTTAGTTAACTTCTCTGAATTGTTTATACTAACTCTACTATTGACTCTATTATCGATATTCGTCCTACTAGATAGCTAACGTTACGATAATAGTAGGGTAACAATTAAAGGAAACTTAGTCGACTTCTTTAAATCTTCTATACTAACTCTATTATCGACTCTACTATCGATATTCCTTCTACTAGATAGATAACGTTACGATAACAGTAGGGTAATAGTTAAAGGAAACTTGTATAATAGTTCTATAAGCGTAAGGGTATACGCGACAGAGGTCCTAGGTATAAAAGGTATAAACAATGTATAGCTTGCTAACTGAGGTATAATAACTCTGCCCTTCCTTCCTAGAGGAGGGTCCTCGCTATATATACAAGCTATTCTATTATCTACTCCTCGCTACCGGCACCGCCTCCTCTTAGGCAGCAGCCGATAACCGGCTCCCTTAGGAACCCTCTTAATTTAGAACGTCTCCGATCGGTAGAGCATCCCTTCTATACCGGATCGCCGGAGGTCCGCGAGGGCTTCCTGTCCTACGCGGCACGCCCCGCCCGCCTCGCCGGGGGTTCGCTAGGGCTTCTCTGCCCTAGCGTATTATAGACGCTCCCTCTTAGGGCTAATGTCCCTAGTAGCGACAGGTTATTAGTCCCCTATATATTCGCCCTACGAACGGGGGTAGACGTCTGCTCTTATCTAGGTACTACGTAGAGCTAGCGCATACCTATAGAATGTCTATGCCTTGGCATTAGTAAACATTGTATACAAATTCCCTCTTATGTTCGCGCTGTCGCGAAGCGTCGCTAAGAATGTTTACTTATAGTCGCGTCGCGAATTCCGTAGGTAGTAGTCGGGAGTGCGCGGTAGTATCGCTATAGAGATAGAATATTTCAATAGGTTCGTCGCGCGTTCTACGATCCTCTTATTCCTTTCCTATTAACAACCTACTATGTACCAATATTCTTACCCGCCTGCAACTCTATTACTACTACTATATCCAGATAGCTATACTTCTACTTCTCGTTCTTCGTTTACTCTTTGTAGCCCCCGCCTTGTCTCTTAGTTTCCCTCGCCGGCTCCGCCGCTTTATTAGGCCCCTTCGACTATTATAGCGTTTACCCGGGGGTACGTAACGATTCCTTTCTCCGCCGCGTATATAAAGGATATAGTGCCTAACGACTAGGACTATAGCTAGTCGGACGCCGACTAAGACGAAACCGGGTACGTAGCTATATACCTACGGTACGCAAAGTCGATCGCTATAGGGCGAGTGTATAATACGCCTATATACTATATATACGATAGCTACGCGAACAACAACAAAGTAGGATGTAATAGTATAGGAAGGGTAAGTGTCCGTCCGCCTCGCTAGGGGTTCGCCTTGCTAACGAGTTTGTATACAGACCGTACTAAGACTCTTAAACAAGGTAATCGCCGTCTAACGCTAGAAGGATACCTATAATAAGATCTGGAGAGAGATTACGGCTAGTTACCCGGCAAGCTCCGTAGAGGACGCGCGCGTCCTCGTAGAGGGCGACGAGGAGTACTGTCGCTAGGTAGCACGCCTCTATCTTATAGCGCGATCCCTTAACAGAGAGATCTATACTATTAAGGTAGCGTGCTACTATATAGGGACTACTATAGGTAGGCCTACCCTCGCGCTACGGTCGACCTAAGACTACTAGGGCTTGCTGCTCTTAGAGCAATTGCGTTCGCTAGGACGCTATCCCGTATAGGGACCCTTAGAACGCCTCTAAGGGTCGTTAGCGGTAAGTCTTTAACGACGCTCCCCGCTTTCGGGAACTAGCTAACTATATCGTAGCGTTCCTCTACTACCGCGGCAGACGCCTTTAACCAGACGCGTACGAGGTTCTACTAGGTAGTGCCTATCGTAGTATTACGCCTAGACGAGGCCCCGGCGGTTCCCCGCGCCTCGCCCTATCCTTAAGCAACCCTGCTAGCACCCCCTATAGGTCGGAGTTACCGTCGGGGTAGTCGCCCCGTAGTATATTCGTCTAACGATAAGGAGCTTCTAGCTACGGTACCGACGCCGGTAACCTCTCGTCGGCGCGGCGAGAAGGTACGCAAGGTTACTCTATCTCTAGAGCGGGGTCCCGTATTGCTAGACTTTGTTCGGGATGCCCTTCCTAGCCTACGTCGACCTAAGGCTAGTACTATTCCTATATCGACTAACGATACGCCCTCTCGTCCGTATAG